TCATATGATATTTGTATTTGTCTGACTTACTTCACTTAGTATGATAATCTCCAAGTCCACCCATGTTGCTGCAAATGGCATTACTTCATTCTTTTTTATGGCTGAGTAATATTCCATAGTAGATGTATTCCACACCTTCTTTATCCATTCATCTGTTGGTGGATATTTAGGTTGCTTCCATGTCTTGACTATTGTAAATAGTGCTCCTATGAACATTGGAGTACATGTACCTTTTCGAATTAGAGTTCTCATCATTTTCAGTTATATGCCCAGGAGTGGGATTGCTGGATCATATGGTAAGTCTATTTTTAGTTTTTTAAGGAACATACTTTCTGTTCTTCTTAGTGGTTGCACCAATTTACATCCCCACCAACAATGTAGGAGGGTTTCTTTTTCTCCACACCCTCTCTGGCATTTGTTATTTGTAAACATTTTGATGATGGCCATTCTTACCAGAGGGAGATGATACCTCATTATAGTTTTGATTTGCATTTCTCTAATAATTAGCAGTGTTGAGCATCTTTTCATGTGTCTGTTGGCCACCTGTGTCTCTTCTTTGAAGAAATGTCTATTTAGGTCTTCTGCCCATTTTTTGATTGGGTTGTTTGTTTTTTGATACTGAGCTATATAAGCTGTTTGTATATCTTGGAAATTAATTCCTTGTCAGTCACATCATTTACAAATATTTTTCTCCCATTCCATAGGTTGCCGTTTCATTTTGTTTATGGTTTCCTTTGCTGTGCAAAACTTTTAAGTTTAATTAGGTCCCATTTGTCTATTTTTGCTTTTATTTCCATTACTCTAGGAGACAGATCCAAAAATTGTTGCTGCAATTTGTGTCAGAGAGTGTTCTACCTGTGTTTTCCTCTAGGAGTCTTATAACATCCGGTCTTACGTTTAGGTCTTTAATCCATTTTGAGTTTATTTTTGTACGTAGTGTTAGAGAATGTTTTAATTGCATTCTTTTACATGTAGCTGTCCAGTTTTCTCAGCACCACTTATTGAAGAAACTGTCTTTTCTCCATTATATATCCTTGCTTCCTTTGTACAAAATTAATTGAGCATAGGTGTGTGGACTTATTTCTGGGCTCTCTATTCTGTTCCATTGATCCGTATGTCTGTTTTTGTGCCAATACCATGCTGTTTTGAATACTGTAGCTTTGTAGTAATTGTCTGAAGTCTGGGAGGGTTATGCCTCTAGCTTTGTTCTTTTTCCTTAGAATTGCCTTGGCAATTCTGGGTCTTTTGTGGTTCAATATAAATTTTAGTATTATTTGTTCTAATTCTGTGAAAAATGTCATGGGTAATTTGATAAGGATTAGGTTAAATCTGTAGATTGCAGAAGCCACTTTCTTGGGTACAGTGGAAGACTACTTTGAGTTACATTGACTTTATGGTGCCCATAAACATTCTAGATAGAGATATAATATTTGGAATCATCAATATAGCTAATCACTCTGGAATAAATTAGATCTCTGAGGCAGGGAGTACATAAACAGATAAAGACAATAAGGGCAGAGTCTTAAACAAAACAGATGACAGAGAGCACTCCATGAAGGCTGCAGAGCCACATGATCCATTCAGCAGTCACTAGTCAAAATGGATTCTGAACACTTGAAATGTGACTAGTCCAAATTATGTACTGTAAAATAGATACCAGCTTTCCAAGAGTGCAAAAAAAAATGGCTTTTAGGGGAAGGGGCTTATCTTCCATCCAGTGTTACATAGCATGTAAAAAAAGCTATCCCTAGCCAAGCAGAAAACAAAACAAACCAAAAGAAGTAAAAGAAAAAACTTTTTAACCACCCATATTTGTTTACCTGGATGGTGACATGTTGGAGAAGGGGAAAAAATATTATCTATAACTAGAAAGGATAAATCAGCTTCCTGAGAGCCACTCCTCTCCCAACAACACATATAACACATATATAACTGGAGTTCAATAAATATTTAAGTGGATGAATGAACATTAATAAATAATTCAGGTTCCTGGAATAGAACAGATGCCATGCTCCAACAGGAAACTGAAGAGGGTTTAATAAAATAACTATTTATAAATATGCGAGTGGGGTAAAAAAAAACCAACCAAACAAGGCATGACAACATTGGGGAGCTATTGCCACCCCCAGGGCTGAAGAGACAGGGGGAAGAAGCAGTTACTGAAATTCAGGACATGTGTAGTGGAGTCCCTTATAGGGGTTGTGACCCAAGTTGGAAAGACGCAACCAAATGAAGATGCCCTCAAAGGAGGGAGCCAGTGGAGTAATGACTCTGATTTCTCTTTCCACTAGCCTGTTGATCTTCTGCCAGTGCCTCCCACTGGCTGAAACCAACCCAAAACCAGATGGCAAGGGAGCCTCCCTGACGCAGTCCTCCCAGGCCAACCTCCAAAGGGTCAAGTGGAGAGCAGATCTAGAGAGGCAATCTCAAAGTATCCAGCACAGAGATTTTATTATTATTTTCAATCTATCTAGAGATACTTGTCTTTTTTACTGAGGAATGTTCATCGTCTTGTCCCCATCATCATTCAAATGGTGAGAAAAATAAAAATTAATCACCTAGGCAGTGTTGTAGGCACTGGGAATACAATCATAAGCAAAAAGACTTACGCTAATTCCCCATCCTAGATGAGCAGATAATTTTAGTGGGGGAAGAGAAACATCCCAGAATTCCATAGATCTCCCTTTGTAGAGAGAAAATCATAAACTTTAGAATCAAACGAAAACATTGTTTTGGTGACTAACTTAATTTCACTGAGCCTTGGTTTCATCTAATAAAAGGGAATTGTGATGCCTATTTTTTAGGGTTAACGTGTAATTTAAAGACCATGTATGTAGCACACTATATAGATTCTGGTACACAGTAATTAATTATAACTTTAGAAACAGCAGTATCTTCTTTACTCAGTTTACCAATTCAAATGCTAATCTCTTCTGGAATCACCCTCACAAACAAACCCAGAAATAATGTTTTACCAGCTATCTGGGTTTCCCTTAGGCCTGTCAATTTGACACATAAAATTAACCATCACACACTGCAAAGCACCGAACAAAAACATTTGACATTTGTAAAAACTGTAACTGCAGCTCTCTCTTCCCTTAACATCACACTTCTTTTCCATTTTATTGTACTTAACATGGGAGCAGGTGGTTGGTGGCAAGCGTAGCTGCTCCATGTTCCCAGAGGACCCAGGAAGTGGAGAATTCCTATTCTGAGGGTTTGGGTTGTTCCAGATCACTGCATAATCTGCACAGGGAGGGCCAGAAATGTGTCCACATGGAGTGAGGTCATGGAGGCAACTAGTTCTTCCTCTGTTCACTGGACCCCCTCCTGAACTTTTCTACTATTGGGTTACTTATTAAACTTATTAAACAAATTGCACGTAGAATCACAGACTAAGGCCTTCTGGGTAATAAGCAAATAGTATTTCTCATTTTTTATTAGCGGTGTATGACCTTGTTTATGAGACTTCATGCTAGATGCCACAAGAAAATTTAAGTTGAAGAATCAGTACAACTATGATAAAAAAAATGAAAAACTTCAAATTGTGAGGAAGAAAAAGAAAAAAATAAGAAACAAACTCAGCTACAATGCATAAAAAGGTTATTTTAATGACCCAAGCACCAGGTTGTTTTTTAACACACTGAAGAATAAACAGATTCTTTATTCTATTACAAAAATTATAAAATAGAAATTTTTCTACACCAATATTTTCAAAAAGAAACCTAAGGCTGCTAAATATATCTTTTTAAAGATATTTGATTAGGTTAGAGCTACTTATAAGATGCCAGGTCTGTAATCCTCTTGGTTTTCATTGGTCTTCCAGCTATACACAGTGGGTTCCTCCCCATTAAATTTAACCTTAATAAAATGTCTCACAAATGAAATCAAATTTTCAAAAATTTTCGGAAATGCCTGTTAGGAATTACCTACTGATTTGCAATATCCAGCAAACTCGATTCCTGCACATCCTTTTTGTACTAAAGCATTCAGACCTCCTTCTGTAGAAAGTGGGTTTTGTATTTTTACCTCCTCTAGGCCTCTGTGAAATGGATTATAAGTATAGCAGGAGTTTATATTCACTGTGAACTAACAAGGCTCAGGCTATGTTTGCTGAATATCCATAGAAGTCAGGCAGCATACCTAAAGAAAATAAAAGTGCAGCTTCAGTCATTTGGCAACATTCTTTATTCATTTGTTGATTCACCATTCCTTCATTCAACACTGATTTTTTTCACGTACAAGAGCAAAGTATTAAATTAAATAGTATAGTGAAAAGAAGAGTTATATGACATGGTACCTGCTTTTAAGAAGTTCATGTTTCTGCTAGGATAACTTGTGCATGACCAAACCTTCAACTAGGTGATAGTTCGAGAGCTGTTACAGAGATCCCACTAAATTTTTTTAAAAGGTTTGTGTATGGGGGTAATGTCACCTGCAACATGCAGTCAACTTCAGGGATTGAGGAAATGAGGCTCAGAATTGTCACGTTCATTAAGTGTCCTTGGATATCAGCACATCCATCTTTCCTTGCAAATTGTGTCTCAGATTATTTGCCTTACATACACAAAAATGAATTATCAGGAAACTATCCACAATCACAAATAAATTTTTTCTTATATGTGTTGTGTCGTGTGACCCTACCATGTGTTATTGCATTATATGTGTCAGTATTGTGTTCCAAGGCCATGGGCATGCAGATGACATATTCTTTTCCATTCCTTCTACATCTAATATTCAATATCTTTTGCACAAATGTATGGTCAGGCCACTCAACATGGCTGTTCTCTCGCTCTCTGTAATCCCTTGCCCAACCGGTGCCTGCTTCACCTAAGCCCTTCACATGTGACTGACCTGCCTAGTACTTGCCCAGGCCCCAGCTGGTGATTGTTCTCATCAAAGGGGCCGGGAGGGGTGTGCCCCTCTGCTGGTTTCCCTGGTAACTAATGAGCCCACCTGATGTCAATTCCCCTATAACTGGTAGTCTCCCTTTTCCCCAGATCGAAGACTGCCATCATGTCCTGCATCGCCAGGACCTTCGCCAGGACCTTGCTTCAGACGTGTAAGTTTTCCAACCATTAAACCATTGATGTCTCTGTCGCTCACTCTGGGCTCTTTATTGGGTCTTGAAACTGGGCAAGTACAGGCCTCATAGGCCTACGGGGCACAGCCCAACAACAAATAACACCATATAACTTTTCCTTTGTCAGGAATGTATAAGAACAGATTGCTTTGTTGTCTTATGCTATAGTGTTGACTGTTAAACAACAATGCTGTTTTTACAGAGTATAGCAAACATGGAGGCAATTTAGAAAAGATATTTTCCTCCTACTAATCTCAGAGAGGGCCAATCAAGGTCTCTGTCCATACTGCAGCCAAACAGACTTTTATAAAAAGCAAAATTCACCTTGCTACATCTCTGCTTAGTATCTGTCAACAGCATCCAGTCACTATTAGAATAAAAATCAAATTCTTTTAACATGGTCATAAGGCCCAACAGGCTCTAGTCCCTTCCTGCCTTTCCAGCTTCAGGTTCCCCTTTGCCTCCTTCTCCAAGGTCCAGCCACTCTGAACTTCCTGCGTTCTCTATGCTTCCAGATTCTGGAGCTGGACTGCCTATGTTTCGGTTCTCAGTTGGCCACTTACTAGCTCTGTGATCTTAGACAAGTTACTTAATATATCTGTGCCTCAGTTACTCATCCGTAAAATGGAAGTAAGAATGGTACCCACTTGACATTTTTGTTATTATGAGGATCAAATAATATATATGAAAATATCAGTTTGTGCCTGTCACACAGACAGAGCTATATATGAGGATTCCTCTTATTTGCTATTCTTGCCTAAGTGCCTTAATACATGATTTTGTCTCTGTAATGCCTCCTTATGATCCTTTCCTTTAGCTAAAGTACATTTATTCATTTTATATCAGCTTAAATGTTCTGTGTCTAGGGCTTCCCTGGTAGCGCAGTGGTTGAGAGTCCGCCTGCCGATGCAGGGGACACGGGTTCGTGCCCCGGTCCGGGGGGATCCCACATGCCGCGGAGCGGCTGGGCCCGTGAGCCATGGCCACTGGGCCTGCGCATCCGGAGCCTGTGCTCCGCAACGGGAGAGGCCACAACAGTGAGAGGCCCGCCAAAAAAAAAAAGAAAGAAAGAAAAGTTCTGTGTCTAGAAAACATTTCCTTTCATTTAAGTTAGATCAGGACTCCCTGTTATATATAATTTTCTAGTACCTTGTATATCCTTAGAAGCACTTACCATGACAATGATTAGACAATTAATTATTAATTCTTTTAATTTTTTTGCTTGAATCCATTTCCACTTCTCCAAGGATAGAAACCCAGTCCATCATGCTTACCACTTTGTAACCCCTCCACTCTCTCACTCCCAACATATGAGCAACTCTCAATAGCTCAATTGATGAATTTCACTTGCTTTCTCTTTTTCCTCCTGTCCTCCTTTCGGAATTGATAGAAACAAGGAATGATGTGGCTAGCACAGAGGCATCAGGAGTACTCAGGACACTTCTGTGCTCTGAAATGCACCCTGCACTGCAGCAATATGAAAGGAAAAATGAAACAGTTTGGAGAGATGGATAATAACAAACTGGGGAACAAGCTAGAAGGTAAGAAAGGATGCACATTTCTCATAAATGAAAGAATAATTATCTCAATGGTATTCCTGAAATTGGGGCAAGTGAGCCAGTCATAAATAGCAGAAGGTACAAATGGAAACTCCTACCAAGACATCTCATATCCAGCCATAGCTCTGCTCCTGGACCACAGCAAAACAGAGTCCGATTGACAAAGTATCCAAGAAACTCTTTCATAGTTTTCCCACATCTCTATAAGAACTCCAGAGCATTAGTCTTTCATCAGGAACATTTTTGTTCAATCCATTTCCTCATGTTCAACTCCTGAATGATCTTTTCATTTATGTCTTATATTTCCCTCACTTTCTTCTTCAAGACCAAAATCAATTCTGGTGAACTACACAGAATATATACTAGACTGTATGCTCACTCTTTCTAAAAAATGCATCTGTGTACCTGTGAATAGCTTTCTATTATTTCCATATATATTTCTTTTTTTCTTTCCCTTTCCAATGTTTAACTGTTAAATCCAGAACGACTCCATTTATTTCCCTTTCTGATGCTTCAACCTTTCTGCACTCTCCAGTGCTAGCCAGAAGATGTCAGTCTTACAATTCAAATCGATTCTTTGTCCCTCTCCTAAATAGCCGAAAAACACGTCAACTTCAGATACCAAGGCAAAAACCCTTGAAATGCCCTAAAAATCCAAATAACAGACATGCAAGTCTATGCACTAGGATATCCTTTATGGCACTTAAATGTATCTTGCCTATTTGGGATTTACAGATATGTAATTGGTAGGCAATTTCTATTCACAGACCTTTTCTAAACAGCTGAAACCAAACCAGTGTTGAGACTAAAGAATCACAGAACTGTGAAGTTGGAAGGGCCTTAGAACTTTCTGCCCTCTCTACATGAATTTCTTTTATTCTAGAATGGAATGTGATTTCTAAGTATAAACACATTCCCCTATTCATACATTCATTTATTCATCAATTTTTTTAATAGAACATATTCTATTGGCAATGGAATAATTGCTAAGGATCCAAATGTTAAAAAGATGAAGTAGACACAATCCTTGTCCTCTGTTATGGGTTGACTTGTGCCCTTACCCCCAAAGAGGAAGTCCCCCAATACCTTAGAATGTGAACCTATTTGGAAATAGAGTCATTGCAGACGTAACTAGTTAAGAAGATGAGATCATACTGAATTAAGGTGGGCACTTAATGCAATATGACTGGTGTCCTTATAAGAAAAGGAGAGAGACACACAGGGAAAAGATGGTCATGTGACAACAGAAGACAAGATTGGGGTGTTGCATCTCTAAGCCAAGGAACACAAAGGGTTTCTGACAAACATCAGAAGCTAGAAGTGGCAAGGAAAGATTCTCCCCTATGTATGTTTCAGAGAACCCAGCTGACACCTTGATTTTAAACCTCTAGCCTCCGGAGGTTTATTTATTATGAGATAATACATTTCTGTTGTTTTAAGCCACTTAGTTCGTAGTACTTTGTTATGACAGACCTAGGAAACTAATGCACCCATAAAAAGATGATACAATACAAACAGGTAAATCTAATACATTGTAATAAATGCTATTACAATTGAAGTATGGGATATGATGGGAAAATATGAGAGAAATACCCATCAGAGGAGATCAGCAGATCAGATTTCTGAAGGAAGTGACCCCTATTCCAAAAACCAACAAACAAAAAAGATGTCAAAGACATACCCAAGTAAATTATTGATACTATGAAGCAGTAGAGCCATTTTATAAATGGAGAAAAGCACCTAACTCTCTCACCTACCTATAGTCCTTCTTTGCTCAGCTCAAAACTTTGGTCAACAATCAAAATATTATTAGATATGAATCTCAACTCTATTTAATTGAGGTTTCCATTTATTAATTCTTTACAATTCTCCCTTTTGAAAAAGATCTTTCTCTGAAGCATCTGATCAAGAGTGATCTGATCTGATCTGATCAAGAGTAAGATTTTTCCAGTTTCATTGACTTTTTGTCCCTAAATGAAAGGAAATACTTTTCCTGGATGTAGTGACTCCTGTCAGAGGAAAAGAGTGCAGATTGGAAATCTATTGAGATCACGTTCAAATAACTAGGAGAGGTAGGAGAGAGAACTCTTAGGTGTTTTATCTAAAGTCCATATGTTATCAAGATCATAGGTATTGGAGATGATTGGAAACGATATGTCATCATCAAAGGTTTGGTGATAAACTTCCAATAGGCCTGGTCTGGATATCCTGGTCTATCTCATCAGATGTCTTCTGCTTCAATTCCAGGAAATCTTTACTTTCAGGTCACCAGATGAGGTACAGGGCCAGGCAGTGTCTGGTATTTTCTTTAGGTGTATCGTGTGAATCCAAGAGTCTATTCCCTGGAGTTTGGAAGCACTAGAGTTGGTTAGCAGTACTTGGTAGGGACCTTTCCAACAAGGTTAAAAAGAGTCTTTCTGGAGGTATCTTTTCCAATAGGCAAAATCTCCAGGTTGCAAGGCATGATACTTAAGGTCTTTGTCTCCCAAGGGTGCACTGTGAAAAGATTGCTTTACCAAAACATGGTTATTTTAAAGCAGTTAGGCCTTTGCAATATTGGAGTATCTCTCCTTTTATCAGTTGAGGGTCAAAAGAGGCAGAAGCCAAGTGCATTGGGAATTCTGTGACTATCTCAAAGAGTTTATGAGTTTCAAAAGGGGTGGATATAAGATTTAGAAGGACCAATAGCAATGCTTTTGGTCAAGGTACTTGGAGGGCCTCTGCAAATTTTGCAAATGAGTATTAATAATGCATTTAGTGGGTTAGACTAAACCAGAAGATTTAGGATGGAAAATGTTGTAAAACTGGCCAAACAGCACAGACTTGTCGACCAGACCTGACCAGTAATATGGGTCCCTTGATCACTATGAATTTCAAGAGGAGTTCCCCATGGAGGGACAACCTTTTCCAAAAGGGCTTTAGCCTCAGAAGGGGGAGTAGCCTGTCTATAAGGGAAGGCCTCAGTTCAGTGTGACAACATACAGACCATGACTAAAACATTTATATCAGACTGAAAAATTGTGTGAAATCCATTTGTCATACCTAAAATGGTTCTTTAGGCACTTTAAAATGTCTGGGAGCAGTACAGACTTCCCTGGGTTGTATTTTGGACAAGTGGGACAACTGAGGTAGGCTCTTTTGCAGCCTTGTGATGTTTCCCCACAAACCCTGATTCATGAATGCTATCCGATTGTCAGTAGACCAATGGTTTAATACATGTACAGTGGTGAAGAGTGGGAATTTTAGAGTCTCTGGTATGACTGGATTGGTGTTTTGTCTAAATCAGAGCTTCCTCTTTTTATCAAATCAACAATTGGTGAATTTTCAAATTTTTTTTCTTTTCTGAGGCCAATTGTTGGTCTTTTCTAGCCAATTTTTCTAAGTTATCATTTGGGGAAATATCCCTTTGGACCATGACAGAGGCCTGGCTGCTGTTGGTTCCCTAAAGGGCAGCATTCCTTGCAAAAACGTCAGCAAGATGATTTCCCTTAGCTTCCAGGGTGTCAAGTTTAGAATGCCCCAGAATCTTAATAGCTAAATTATCAGGTAAAAGTATTGCATCCAACAATCCCTGAACATAGGGGCCATTTTTAATTTTATTTCCACTGGAAGTAAGGAAGCCATATTGTTTCTACAACATTCCAAAATTATGAGCTACTCTGAAAGCATATCCACTATCAGTATAAACATTGGCAGTTTTGTCCTTGGCTAAAGTACAAGCTCATGTAAGACTGTATAATTCAGCCTGTAGGACTAAAGTAGCCATAGGTGAAGATGCCTCCTCAACAACGTCAAAAAGAGTTGCAAGCATATCCAGCACAATATTTGCCATTGTTACCTTTTAAATAAGAACCATCAGTGAACCATGAAGTCAGCATTACCCAAAGAGATTTCCTGCAGATCATAATAAGGGGGAGTCAGGAGGTGATCCATCAGTGTTAAGTAGTCGTGAGGAGCTTCATTGGTGACAGAAGGGAGGAGAGTACCAGGGTTAAGGTTATCACAACGTAAAAATGTTATGTGAGGAGCAGTTAACAAAAAGACTTCATAGTAAGTGAGGCAGCTAACTGAGAAATGTTGAGTGTGATGAGAATTCAGAAAGACTTCTACTGTGTGAGGTACAAAATTGCTTAAAGGAGACCCCGCAGTGATTTTCCTCAGTGGCCTTAACCAAAGGGGCAGTGGCAGTAATGTCTCTAAGGCAGGAGGGGTATCCTCATGTCACAGGGTCCAATTACTGGCTATAATAACCTATGGGTCAAATGTGGTCCCCATGTTTTTGAGACAGTACCCCAAGGGCATTCTCTTCCTTTTCATATACAAAAAGGAAAAAGGGAATCTGATAATTGGGATGTCTAGGGCAGATGGGTTCATCAAACTCTCCTTCAAGGCCTTGAAGACTATGCCATTCTGTTCATCCCATAAAACTGGGTCAGCAGTGTTACTGTTTAGTAAAACATACATTGGTTTGGCCATAAGAGAGAAATTTGGAATCATTTTCAGCAATAACCAACTAGCTCAAGAAAACCTCTCAGTTGGTGCTTAGTTTTGGGCTTTGGGAGACTTAGGACACCCTGAAGTCTGTCTGGATCCAAGTGTAGCCCTTGTTCTGATAATCAGATCAAACTGCAATTTTTCCTTGGCAACCTTAAGCCCCTGTAAGGCTAAAAGCTTTAGCAAGTAGATGCTGTCGTCCTGTGAGGAGGCTTGTAAAAAAGAGCAAAGAAGCAAATCATCCACATTTTGCAACAAAGTAGAACCCCTAGGGAACTTTATATCATCCAGACCAGCTTTCAGGATTTGTGAGATATAAGAATGACTCTCAGTAAAACCCTGAGGCATTACTGTCCAGGTGAATTGTTTTTATTCCCCAGTGAAAGCAAAAAGGCATTGGCTATCTTTATCAGCTGGAATATTAAAGAATGCACTGCATAAATCAATTACAGTAAAACATTTGCTTCCAGTGGGAATGGATTTTAGTG